AGTCTTGTGGATCCAGTGGCGGTGGAAGCAACTCAGCGCTGGCAGGTCTCCACATGGCTCCTCCAGCTCCAGGGCTCTGGCTCCATCTTTGTAGCTCCATGTGGCTTGCCAACAGGAATGTGTCGCAGGAAGTGAGTGTATCCAGCTCCAGTGAGCTATTTATCTCCATGGCGCCTCCCAATGAAGTCATCAAGCTGCAACCTGTGTGACAGGCTAGACTCCACAGCTCTGCAACTTGACCCCAGATCATGTAACGACCACAACAGGCTTCAGGCTTCCCACTGGGCTATTGCTCTTTTTGGTAGGCAACATTTGAGAGATTTCAGCTTTTCACAGGTTCTGGCTTGTGCAGATTTTCCTGTGCTAGGTAATCCATTTCCATCTACCCAGCTTGATTTTCTTCAAAGTATTCACTGGGCTTATTGTATATTTGCATTGTTATAAAATTATTATGTTTTTTGTAATTTGCATTATTATAAAGTTTCCTGTTTTAATGTATTTTATTAATATAAACCTGAACTTTATAGCAGCTTAGGGCAGCATAGTGATTGCAAATTGAGCCGCTAAACACAAGGTCAGCTGTTTAAAACATCAGCTGGTCCACAGGAGAAAGATGAGGCTTTCTATCACCATACAGAGTGACCTACAGGGTCAGTTGGAAACCCACAGGGACATGAGTCAGAACCAACTCAATGTCAGTGAGTGACCCCGGGCCATCACCATTTTCTAAACATTTACTCCCTCTCCCCACTTCCAACCCCATGACCCCTTGATAACTTATAAATTATTATGGTTTTCATGTCTTTCACTCACCGCTGTCTCTCTTCACCCACGTTTCTGTTGTTCATCCCCCTGGGGACAAGGATCATGTGTCGATCATTGCAATCCGTTTCCCCTGCCTCCCCTCTACCCCCCAACTTCTCCCAACCCTCCTGATATCGCTACTCTCAATTCTGTTCCTGAGGGGTTTATCTGACCCGGATTCTGTGTGTCGTGAGCTCTTATCTGTACCTGTGTACATGCTCCAGTCTAGCCAGAACTGAAAG